AAGGTAGGTTGTTCGACTCGGCGCTCCGGGGGAGGGACAAGTTATTTTTGGAGGGTTGGCTTCCCAGTGCATGACTGGTTGACCTAAAAGGAGGCAACAAAAAAAAAAAAAAAAAAAAAAAAGACGAAGAAAAAAAAAAGAAGCCCTCCATGGAGGCGAGGAGGGAGCGAGCGTGCCGGGGAGCAGCTTCAGGGAGCGGAGTTTTATTTTTATGCAAGTTAAAGACGCCGGAGCCCCCTCCTCCCGCCCCCCCAGCATGCCCTGCCCTGCTATGTCGAAAAACGTGCGTTGCTAAAATACTTTCATCTGTGCGCTCTCTTTTGTTCTTCTAAGTATTGATTATTCTTACTATTATTTTTGCATTTACGATTTGATGGGCACGTATTCCTCTCAGCGGCTCTGAATTTCTGTGAATTCTAAATGAACCGTTCCAGGGCTGTGGAACATGAGGGATATTTTTACAGGAGGACTCCCAACTTTTCGGGTGCTGTAACATGAAAGCTGCTGTGGTCGCCCATGTGCCCCCCAGGACTCACCCTGTTTCCCAGGCCACCCCGCCGTGCCTTCTCGGCTCTTTCCTTGAAGGCTCTCTGTGATTTGGCTCCGGAGGACGGTTTCTCTTCCTGCAAACGGAAAGGCTCTGAGGCTTTGCCGTGCCTCTGGGTTGGGTTTGGAGGTGTAGGGAAACGCTTGCACGGAGCAGTGACACAGAAGCACGGCGTGCCGAGGGGAATCAGTCAGCAACCTGTCCGCTCCTCTGCCAGAAGTGCAGCAAATTCATAATGCAATGTGAGAGCGAATGGCTGCATGGGGACGGATGCACCGGCATTATGTAACTCAATGAGAAATGCATTGCTGTTGTAGGAGCGGGCATAAATAGCACAGCTAGATAAGTGAGGAAGGGCGCCCTTCATCAAACCTGGGTTAGGCAGCTCTGCCTTCAGTCCCCGCTTCTCACAGGGCTGAAGGAAGGAAGCAGCTTCTGCCTAAACTGAGCATTGATCCCAAACCTTCTCAGTACCTGTTGTGGACTTGGCAGCAGAGTTGGCTCTTCCTCTTCCTGCCTCTGCTGCCAGCCTCCCCCAATTGATTTTGGGATCTCTGTGCTTTTTTTAAGGAAGTCACGGTTCCAGAGCAGAACCGGGCAGCTCAGCTTTTCCTCCTCTTTTTTTTTTTGCCCTGCTTTAAATGTTATTCCTTAGGTACTCGCACATTTCTGCTCTTTGCCTGTTTATTTGTGTTTCTGCTGAGCTGTTCAGCCTGACCTTTGCTGGGCAGAAGCCTTCTGAAAATGTGAGGCCAGGTCGGGTAATGTCAGTAAACTTCTGCATTCCCAAACTTTTATCCTGTAAAACTGGGAATGTTTTTTGTTGTTGTTGTTTTTTTTTTTTTTTTTAATTGCATCTCATTGTGGTAAACACAAATAAATGTGTATTTTAAAAATCAAGGGATGTGTTTTAAAGCACATTTCTAGCTTTTGCTTTTTGGGCCGTGTAGGGGATGGTAGGAATTAGTGGCCCTTAATTAGACGTGGAGATATTCACATTTTGCAGGGATTTATGTTGGAACGTGGAATGGCGGGTGGCTTGTTTCCTCATTATGAATACTCCCTGCACATAATGAGGTTCATCATTAGTTGATGGAGTGAATTTGCCCTAGCTCTACCTTGAAAGGCACATAATTTACATACTACTTCAGAGCTTAGGCTTTAATGGATTCCTCGATGAATAAAATGAAAAGCTACTTTCTTTAAATTTTTGAACAGTGTTTTGATAATACGGATTTAATAAGACATTCAATTTCCTTGTTAAGTATATTTGAAAGTGCATTCCCAATTTTAGCACCAAATATATTTCCCGGTGTCGCCTGCCATAACTCCGGGCAGCAGCACCAGGCCCAGCGGAGCACTGCTGGCGTTTTGGGGACGGAGCGGTGCAGCTCCGGGTGCTCGGGAGCCCCTGCCCTCTCTGTGTGGTGTTAGCACTGCTCTGCTCCTCTTCTGCACTTGCTGTGTGCAGCTGTGCTGATTGATCGACACAAATGCGTCGGCGACTGTCAGCCTGACAGTGACAAACCCGCCGGTCCCACCTCCCTATTTATTTTAATGAGAGAACAGCAAAAACTTTGCTGGTGCAGTTCTACCTCGGAAAGTGCCGTGGAGATGTGGTCAGAGCGGGTGGAGCTGCGTGCTGCCCGGCGTGCTGCGGTGTCACACGGTGTGGGCTGCTGGGGATGGAGTGACACGGCCCTGCTGCAGGGCAGGAGGCACGGATGGGATGCTTTATTACCTGGGAGCGATGAGCATACATTACCATTAATAGAATAGTCGGTGTCATTCCTTTTTAGGCAATTTACCTCCGCTGCAGACCTGTCTGCTTCAAAATCTTTCTCTGTTCTAAAACATATATTTGTTTAGGGAGTTTTCATTGAAGTGTACATGACAATTACAGCTGTTCATTAACAAAATTGGGTATTTGTTTTAAACTTTAACCAATCACTTTGATATGCTAATTATGGTGTAATTTAATTTGAGCCCTGTAATGATGATGCCGTTATTATGGACATAAATGATGCAGTTAAGCTGAGAGTAATCTCATTTGCATACTGTACATGCCAGTAAATTAAGCCCTTTCTTCGACTGCTTCAGCTTTAATTTTCCACTTCTTTTCACACAGCGCCTTTCAGCCGGTCTCTCATAAGCCCACTTTGTAAGAGCGCTGATGACTGTTTGATGTGGAGAGTTGCTGCACCACAATAATGCACGACACAAGATGTAACATTTAAAGGATTCATTATCTTACTGAGAGTTGCTTTAAGGAGCTGGGATTAGCAGGGGTGGAAGTGTCCTCTGTGGAGTGGTGCAGGTCTCCCAGTAAACCGTTGCCATCTTCCTTCTCCCCCTCTTTTTGCTGTACCCCGGTTCTGGAAGCGGGAGGTGAGGCCTTGAGTGCTCTGCAGGTGTGAGCTGTGGCTGCCTGCCGTGCAGCACGCAGGGCTCTGTGCTGCTCCACCACTGCAGAAGAGCTACTGGATGCGATCTGCAGTGTGCAGAGGGGAGACGCCGGGGTCCTGCTGAGGTAGGCAGGTTTATGGCCCGCTACCCAACGTGGCGTACGTCAACGTGGAATTAAAACTTGTGGCGTTGCTTTGTTTCATTCATTGCTGCTTTCTCCTTTCAAGGTGTCTGCTTGGGCTGAGCTTAACATCAGGTTAGTTTTGAATTTAATTTTTAAGAACTGGAATTTCTGTGTTGTTCTGCCTCCTCATCCTAGAGAAATTTGTGGTTTCAGAAGACTAAAAGTCACTGCAACCAAACAGAGATGAGCTGATGAGCAAGTGCTGACTTAAACAGTTAATCTTTCCCCATTTGCCATGTTGTCATTGAGCTGAAGTATTCTCATTGCGCTGTGGCATACGAAGAAATCATGTGAAATAAACAGGGCTCTTTTTATAGCTGCTTACTGTTATGGTTAGATATTTTCATAGTTTAATACCTCTGGAAGTGAAGCCCGTCCCCAGTTTTTAGCAGCAGTTGGCCTCTCAGAAAGCCATTGTTGTGTGGGTAACCAAGTTAACTGAAGAGCGTTATGAAAACCTTGCAATCCTTTCCTTACACAGGGTCCCATGACCACAAATAGTTTGTGCCGTTGCCCATAAACACGCAAGTTAATAACTTCCTGGGTGAGCAGCGTGAAACTGCCGATCCCCAGCGCACGCTCTCCACTCCCACCCCCGCCCCGTTACGGTGCATGGCAAGTAGATGGGAGGTTCTGTGCTTACCAACTGCCCAGCGCTGGGTTTTTATGGTCCTCACCTGCACTTTGTCTCTTTGTGTATTTCTCACGTGCTGTTTTGTTTTCCAGCAGGCATCCCATGATAGCCAAGCCTGCCCTGCTGAATTTGTACCTTCATTTCTGTGTCAGGAGCACAGCAGCCATTCCCACAAAGCCCCCGCTGTTCCCACCAGTAGGGTTTTAGTTCTCCTGGCATCCCTTCCTAATGGAGAGCGTCCATGGAGACAAGTAAAAGCATGGCTCTCTCGTTTTACAGGCCCCTTGTGTTCTCCTTGATAGGACAGCCCGGATAATGACATGCCAGCCAGTTCTTTAGGGTGGACAGCATAAGTATGTAGTATCAGATCTTAGGGCTCACTTCCAACACAACACGTGCCCAGAAGAGGAAAGGTTCTCCATGTCCGTTCTAGGAGCCTGTGTGCTTAAGCATGGCTTTGTGTGCAAGTGCACAAGAGACAAATGCAGCAGCATTTCCCTTGCTCCCTGTATTCAGAGCCCAACCAGGAGCACGGGCAGAGAGAGAGAGCTCTTCAAAAAATGGGGCAGTGTGGGGCGGGCTCTCCCCAGCCGCTCCAGGAGGTCAGAGGAAGCCTAGTGTAATGCTGGAAAGCTGTGGTCTCTAAAGCTCGTGAAAAGAGTTCTTGACTTGATCTGTTTTAGCAGTAGCATTACAGTTCAAGCCTTCCTTTCACAGACAGTGTACATATTGTATAACGAATACATATGTCATGGGTGTTGTGTCTTCAGCTTCCATAGGAAGGAATATATTGAGCGTCACTCTCTCGGGTTCTGGAGAGGTATCAGGGCCGGCCAGCCAGCCACGTGAAGGTAGGATGGACTGAGAGGTGGGGCAGGATAGTTGCTTCTGGTGTTTTTAGTGTTTCATGGATATGACGACATAGCGCCCTGTCCAGGAGCTTCAGAGTTAGGAGATAATATTTCTTTCAAAGTGATTTCACTATCTCACCCATAAAGGAGCTGTGTTGTAAGAACTGCCTTCAGAAGTGGTTTCAGGCATAGTTTTTCCTACCATCTTCTGTCTTAACAAAGCACATATCCTTCCTCCCCTCACAGGACCTTGTCAGTTCATTCTGGATAAAGAAATCCGTTTATGAAGAAGATTTTCCCTGTATCATCTCCCTCTTTAATCTGATCCCAGATTGCAATTTTCAGTAAGTTTCTCCTTCCGCACTTTCCAACCCACAAACCTTTTCAACCCAATCAGGTGGGAAATTAAAAGATACCAGTTCAAACGATGTACTGTGCAGCCCTGTTTGAGCATTTCTGTGTAATTCAGGATTGCTGGTTTCAAAGAAATTTTTCACATCAGGTAATGGTAGCTTTCTGCAGAAAGTTATTTCAGGGAGTGTTGAGCTTCATGGGAGACAGACTTCTCCTTTTACAGCTTTGTTTACAAACAGCTTTGTTCTTACCCTTTCCCAGCAAAACAAGTGTTTCTTCACAGAAATACTTTTGGTTGAGAGCAAAGCCACTGAACCTCTCTCTAGAATTATAACTACACCAGATTAAAGAGCAATTTATCATATGCTAATAAACTTACCCCATCAAAGTCTCGGGTATCAAGACGTAGAAACAAAAATAGGCCTCTGATCTCTATCTCTGTGATGCTTTTCAGCATAGTCTTTTAATGGTAACCAGTGAAAAAGCTGTAGGAATTTGTCTTTGTATTTACCAATAGCTAAGGCAAACTGTTATCTGTCACTGTGCCATTACCTGAGTACTGTGCTGTTGGCCTTCCACATCTGTCTGAACTGAGCTGACGGCAGGTTTTGGAGCGTGACGATTCTCTGTCCCCATTCTTGTGGGTTTGTTCATATTTGTGAGCACCTCTTTTCATGGCTGTGGAAATGGACAGGTATTTCTGATCAGGAACCCTGGTAAAACTGTGCCCAACTCCTTTGCTTTCCCAGCCTCAGGAGCCCAAGCAGCTCCCAGCCAGGCTCACCTGCAGCAGCCGGCGATGTTTTGGGAAGCCGAGGAAGTCTGCCTGTTGCTACTGGTCTGAGGTGTACGCAAAATATAGTAGTAGCTGCTAGAGCTTTTTAATCTATGTCTTGTAGTTCTTTTGGCTGCACCTCCCTCTTTCCAGCAGCAGATTTTCCTGTGAGTGAGTCGTGAATGTCTGGCTCACCTGGCTGGGCAGACAGAGCAGTGCAGTGAGATTGCGTTGACTGGTTGTGCGCTGAGCTGAGACTGAAGTCTGTCAGGCAAAGCTGTTAGCAAAAGGACTTGGGGACAAACCGCTCTCCTTTGCTCCCATGCCATGTGGGACTGAGCTGACTGGAGCCTCCCAGCCGCTGGCTCTGCCTGTGCCGTGTGCTGGCTTTGGGTGGGAATCCAGCACCAGTTGTGTTGAATTTGGCTTCGCCTAGGCTTCTCCAAATAAAACACTTACCCTAAGGATGGCCTTTCAGAGGTCCGTGGTCTTTTTCCAAAGAACTGCAAATTCTTGAGCTGGGCCGCTTGTGTCGTTTCCTGAGACCATTGCTTTTAGGAAGTTGACTGAAACAAATGCTGCTTTCAGGTGCATTGCCTAAGTCAAAAGCAGCTCTGTTTGAGTTCTGTGAAGTTCATCAGGGTTTTACCATCATTAGCAACCCTATGGACCCAGGCAATGCTCTCCTGTTTACACGGGTCCCGTTGCATGGCCACCTGTGCCAGGTGGACAGGACTGGGCACTGCCAAGTGGGGCCTTGCCTCTTTGCAAACTGGGCTTGCCCTGGGCCTGAGGAGGAACAAGAAGGCTATGTAAGAAAAGTTTCCTAGGCTTCATGCTGATATAAGGCTTGCAGACTGTGTTCATCAAAGCTTGGAGACCCATGGTTTACCTGTGGGATGTTTCTTGTGCTCACTGGTGATGTCTTTTGGGAAGTGGGTTGGATCTGGGCGGACGTGCTGTGGGAGGGATGAAGGAAGGCAGTAAGAAGCAAGGAGAGCCTTTCCCAGAGGATGGGGAGTTTTATGTTGCTTTTTGAATGAAACAAATATAAGAAGGAAGAATGAGATGATCATAAGCTAAATTGGTGCCAAATGTATGGGATTCCATGTGTGTGCTGTAAAGGGAAGCCCAGCTCCTGTAGTTTTTCCTTGGAAAATGGCTGTGTTTAGAAGTTGCGTGCAGGATGACCATATAAATGCGGTTAAAGAGCATAGGGTTCTGATCAAAGGGGGAAATTATGAGTAATAAAATAGGAAATATAATTATTGCTACCATTTCAGACCTTGTAGCCATAGAGAATCTTAACAGCTAGACAGAAAAAAAAGCCTTGACATTTAAGAAAAGGAGAGAAAAAATCCCTAGATTACAGCTTGTTGATCTCCACTGAAAAAGAGTTGAAAAGTAAAGATATATTTCCTAGAATCTCTGAATTCCTGAATAAATATTAGTTAGGAGGATTGTGAACACCCTAATTGCTGGCTGAGATGAATCGCAGCAGAAACTGAGTTACCAAGTTCTGCGCAGGGAAATTTGCAGAAGTCGAGATTGTAGCTGGGTTATTTTCACAAAATGTCCAGCACATATGCTGCACTTGCTTTTATTGTTCACCGTTCTGGTGTCATGTCTCGCTAGATTGAGCTTTGCTACACACCTCCGCCCCCTAACAAACTGGCCCTATATATGCATATAGACAGAATATAAGGAATTAAGCTGTGTGACAGGGAACTTCTGGGTTTTCGATATGCTTGACAAATGTTTTTGAAACATGGTATAAATATACTCTACAATCACAGTGTTGGAGGGGCACATTTTACTCCCTAAAGAAACGTGTGTCTTGGCTTCGTATTCTTCTGTATTTTTTTCTTCTCCAAAGAAATATTTAATATTTTCATGACACCTATGTTAAGATACTACAGGTTTGGACAGTATGTATTCTCAGCATTGCGGAGTTCCTACTGACACACCTGGACAGACCTCACCACCTAAACCGCTCAGGCCGGAGGCTAGCATTCCATGTCCTCTGAGAAGAGGACTGTAGCCCTTAGTAGGCAGATTCCTCAAGGTAGCATCTCCTGTCCCCCCACAGGTTGGGTTCTAGGCTTTGTCTGACATCAGGCATTTCTCTTCAAAGGCCCTTCTGCAGGCTTTACTCAGCCTTGCTTTCTCTTGCTTGGCCTTACCCAGCCTTTTTGTTCTTCCTTGGCCTTTTCACCATGCTGGTTTTTTTTTCCTTTCTGACTTTTGGAGAGCATATTGAGTTTCTCAAGGTCTGTCCCTCCTGAACCCAATCCCTGTGACCTGCCTGCATCGCTGGAAATGCCTGGAAAGGAGGAAGAGCGAGCACAGCCAGGATGCTGCCGTCACCCTTCAGGATTGCAGTCGTGTGCCCAATTCCCTGGCAGAAATGCCAGAGCCTATTTAGAGTCAGACATGTAAATATTCTGCTCAAAAATAACAACATTTTTGAAGAAAAACAATCTCATGGCTGAGTGACCCGGAGGAAAGGGAGCATTGGCTTGCGTTGGGTCTCACCTGCTTTGGTGAGGCACTGCATTCTCATTGTCCCTTTATAAGCTCCAGATGTTTGGACTAGAGATAATCTGGAGAGCATCTCGGAGGCGTGACAAGGGGGATGGGGGCTTTACACCTGCTCTGCCACTGTCTTTTACAGCCACCTGAACTGGTAAATGCTTCTGTGTGCATTTGGCTTCTTCAGACCTGTGTACGTGTCCCAGCTCCCCAGTAAGCATCCTCTGCATTCTGTGAGCTCCAGTTGTAGCAGCACCCGCCTGTGCTGTAGAGCTGTTGCCAAGCCCTGATTAACTCTGGTTGAGATACACTTGGATCCCTGTGCTTCGTGGGGCACGTGGGGTGGAAACATGCTGTATGTTCATCCTCTTTGGAAAGAGATTAAGAAATGTTCTCTCCTCCTCCCTCCTCATGTAAGAGTGGGTAATGTTTATTCTTTCTTTATTAACTGCAGACGTCAAAGAAAAAAGACTGTTGCCCTTTGATTTTATTTACAAGGCAAAAGTGAAAACCCGTTTGATCATATCATGACTGTTTAGCTTCAGCTTAAGAGTGGAAGAGAACCTGTTTCCAGGTCCTATCATGTCTAAATATGATTTTGCTTCTATTTAGTTATCTCTGAATTTCAAATGCAGCATCCTTGCCCTTACTTATTTGTCAGTCTGAGTGAAATTGCTTCATGCTCTGCTTACGGAAATAAGCTATTTCAAATGAAATTGTCTCCAAGAACTAAGGAATTTTTGTGGCTGTCAGCCTTGGAGTCATGAGCTTCACAAAAAATGATCCATTATGGAGCAGAAGTGGGTTTGAAAACTTGCTTTTGCTTTCTAGCAGAGAAAGGGGAGATCTGTGGTTTGGTGGACTCTTGTTATCAGCCATGCTCTTGGGCAGGACAGGTCTCTTCCTGGTTTCTTGCAGATCTCTCCTGGTGGGGGTAGAGCTTTTCGTGACCAGATTGCTCAAGGCTTGCCTGTGAGTGCTGCTCACCTGACGTGGCTCATCATGCAGGTGTGAGGGCAGAGACCTCCAGCAGGCAGATACCCTGCTGCGGCGATGCCAGTGGTGCATTTACTTGCCTTTTCAGGAATCTCTTTGAAAACGTTATTTGTTCACACAGTAATGAGTGGTTTTCAGCTGTCCACAGTTGCTGCTAAGACAGCAGCACGTCAGACGCGGTTCATTTAGTATTGCATTTGTTGCTGGATTTTACCCACTGCTCAGTAATACAAAGCTGGCTCTGCATATAGCATTGCCTGAGTCTTAGGTGTGGCTGTGTTGCACACGAGGTGCTGAACAAGAGAGCTTCCTTGAAGAGGAAATGCCGGCAGGGGCACACAGTGTGGATGTGGGTGCACTGGAGGCTGCACCAGCAGCCCGGTTGGCATGCAGGCTCAGCCTTCTGGCACCGCGGGACGCACGGAGAGGTGGGCTCAGAACACAACAGCTGTCCCTTTGGAAGCAGCACGCTTTGTTTGGCACCTGTTAAGCCCTAGGACCACACGGTGACTGACTTGAAAGGCTGCAGGCTCTGCGCAGTTCTGACGGTTCCGCTTTTGCCAGTGGCAGTTTTGCTCTTAAGTATTGATCTCTCCTACACCTTAAAGAACTTAAAGCTGTTTAGGAAGCTTTAATTCAGCGCAAGATGCAACATCACAGTAATCATTTGCCCTGCTTAAATCTATGATGTAAAGACTAGGAAATGATCTGAAGTTGACAGGGGAGGTTTTATTCATCAGAGGACCTTGATGATGCAATTAGCCTTGGGAGAGAGGCTTAAGCAGTTTATACAGCCATCAAAAATTGAAGCCAACTTTTTTTGATAGTAGAAACTGTATTTGGTTGTTCAGTAGGCTCTCTGCCCTCACCGGGCAAAGGCTGCGTGGGATTCAGCAGGTCTAACTCTGGGAGGTTTTATTTCTTGTGGTTGTACCGATGACATTGACAAAGAAACACGGGAGCAGAAAACAGGAGAGAAAGCTGTGCTTTATTTGCATATTCTATAAGGATATTGTTGAGACAGTCTGATGAAATTTGAATAAATATAAGGATTTTCAGGACCTTTTTTTTCCCAACAACGTTCAACATTAAGTATATACTTAAGCAGTAATGACTGTGAAGCTATGCTTTGCATTCATGAACACACACAGTGGGGTTACGCTTCAGCACTAGGTGAAGCCAAGATTTTCTGAATTATGTTTCATCTGGGAATTTTTACCTTTTTTTCCTGTTTATGATAGTCATTTTATCTGGTTTTGTAATGAGGTCATGAACAGGTGAATGTAAAATAATACTGGTAAGCGGAGCGATTTCTGTGTTAATGATTAGGCTATTTTTTAAATTAAAAAGTTCTGGTGTTTGAAAGCGTGCTCTGTACTTCAGGAACACTTGCCAATTAATCAGAATGAAAGATTTTAGTGCTGCCTGATTATGTACAGATGAATGTAGTTCAGTGTCTACAAGACGTGGGGAGAAACGGGTCCAGTGATTAAGGTTGGGCCACGGGAGCACAGGGGGGGGAGGTGTCTTTGTTGTCTCATTTTTCCTTTTGTTTCACTACATAACACAGAGAAATAGCCCTGACCCGCCGTCGCGATGTACTTAACTCCTTTCCCCAAAAGGTAAACTTTGCCCCTTTGTTAAATACTGTATTGCTTATTAAACCCATAACCTTTAAAATATGAGACGGCCGGAAAAGAGGAGAGCCCCGCACTAAAAGCGTTTTATAGG